AACCCCTAGTAGCCACAATGAGTAAGCCCACAAGCTCTAACCCCTAGTAGCCACAATTAGTAAGCCCACAAGCTCTAACCCCTAGTAGTAGCTGCTGTAGTAGCTGTCGCTACAGTAGCTGCTGTAGTAGCTGTAGTAGCTGCAGTAGCTGCTACTACAGCAGTAGTAGTAGCTGCTGTAGCTGCAGTAGCTGTAGCTGCTACTAATACAGCAGCAGTGGCTGTAGTAGCGGTAGCTGTAGTAGCGGCAGGTGCAGCTCTAATTACCACTGTTGGCTCGCTCCGTATGGTGGAAAAAAAGTGCAACGTTCACACACAGTTGTACCACACCACGTGGTGTACACACACAGTTGTACCACACCACGTGGTGTACACATACACACAATTGTACCACACCACGTGGTGTACACACACAGCTGTACCACACCACGTGGTGTACACACACACAGTTGTACCACACCACGTGGTGTACACACACAGCTGTACCACACCACGTGGTGTACACACACACAGTTGTACCACACCACGTGGTGTACACACACAGCTGTACCACACCACGTGGTGTACACACACACAGTTGTACCACACCACGTGGTGTACACACACACAGTTGTACCACACCACGTGGTGTACACACACACACAGTTGTGTCACACCACGTGGTGTACACACACACAGTTGTACCACACCACGTGGTGTACACACACACAGCTGTACCACACCACGTGGTGTACACACACAGTTGTACCACACCACGTGGTGTACACACATACAGTTGTGTCACCACGTGGTGTACACACACAGCTGTACCACACCACGTGGTGTACACACACAGTTGTGTCACACCACGTGCTGTACACACAGTTGTGTCACACCACGTGGTGTACACACACAGTTGTGTCACACCACGTGCTGTACACACAGTTGTGTCACACCACGTGGTGTACACACACACAGTTGTTCCACACCACGTGGTGTACACACACACAGTTGTCACACCACGTGGTGTACACACACACAGCTGTACCACACCACGTGGTGTACACACACACACACAGCTGTACCACACCACGTGGTGTGCACACACAGTTGTACCACACCACGTGGTGTACACACACAGCTGTACCACACCACGTGGTGTACACACACAGTTGTCACACCACGTGGTGTACACAGTTGTACCACACCACGTGGTGTACACACACACATAGCCGTACCACACCACGTGGTGTACACACACACAGTTGTACCACACTACGTGGTGTGCGCGTTGAATGCTGGGCCACTCCTCCATTCCTCTGTTCCACCACTTCCGCCCCCTCCCCACTCGCCCCGGCGTGGCTGAGACCGCTTTGTGAGCCGCTCATTGTTTAGCGTGGGGGTGGTGAGTTGGGGGGTTGTGAAGGTGTGAGAGAGAGACGTTGTGTGTGTGATTGTGTGTGTGTGTGTGAGTGTGTGTGTATGTGATTGTGTGTGTGTGAGTGATTGTGTGAGTGAGTGTGTGATTGAGTGTGTGTGTGTGTGATTAAGTGTGTGAGTGAGTGTGTGAATGAGTGAGTTACATATTTCAGTTTAACACTTCACGTGGCCTCAGGGTGCACATAGCCTGGCACAAGCGTCGTGGTGACGTCACCGCCACTTAGTGGCGAATGGCGGTTGTTGTTGTTGAATGAGTGAGTGTGAGAGAGAGGTTGCGTGTGTGATTGTGTGAGTGTGTGTGAGAGAGGTTGTGTGTGTGATTGTGTGAGTGAGTGTGTGAGTGATTGTGTGAGTGTGTGTGTGAGTGAGTGAGTCTGTGAGTATGAGAGTGTGAGATAGAGATAGTGTGTGTGAGTGAGTGAGAGAGAGGTTGTGTGTGTGTGTGCGATTGTGTGTGTGCGAGTGAGTGAGTATGTGAGTGAGTGTGTGAGTGGGTGTGTGAGTCTGAGTGAGTGAGTGTGTGAGAGGGTGTGTGAGTCTGAGTGAGTGTGTGAGTGTGTGTGAGTGAGAGTGTGTGAGTGAGAGTGTGTGAGTGAGAGTGTGTGAGTGAGAGTGTGTGAGTGAGAGTGTGTGAGTGAGTGTGTGAGTGAGAGAGAGGTTGTGTGTGTGAGATTGTGTGTGTGAGTGAGTGTGAGTGAGTGTATGAGTGTGATTGTGTGAGTGTGTGGGTGTGTGAGTGGGTGTGTGAGTGAGTGTGTGGGTGTGTGAGTGAGTGAGAGTGTGAGTGAGAGTGTGTGTGAGTGTGTGAGTGAGTGTGTGAGAGGGTGTGTGTGAGTGTGTGATTGTGTGTGAAATAGGGTGTTTGTGAGTGAGTGTGTGTGAGTGAGAGTGTGTGTGAGTGAGTGTGTGAGAGGGTGTGTGTGAGTGAGTGTGTAATTGCGTGTGAAAGAGAGAGTGTGTGTGAGTGAGTGTGTGTGAAGTTGTGTGTAAGGAACAGGTTTGCATATTTGCTGAGCATTTCTATGCGGTGTTCGGGGAAAACATTACTGGGCAAAGTGGGGATGACCCTGCTGAGGCTGCTGTGCCTCAAATATTGATTTTGAGGAATTTCCATCTGGTACAGATATAATGGGAGGCTGATCGTTGCCTGGGTGCGGTCAAGGGATGGCTCCCTATTGCTCAACCACGTTATGCATGCCGATGATCTGGTCATTGCTGCTCACTCAGAGGAGGAGTTGGAGGTGCTGCTGCTAGACCTGGTGCATGCCACTAAGAGGTGGGGCCTTACCATCAGCCCCACCAAAACTAAGCACCTGCCAGGGTATTTTGTGCCGTCAAACACTCCACCCCCACAACTCCCAATCGGTGATGGGGCAGTTGTGGAGAGAGTGGAGAGTTTCCCATACCTGGGCAGTGTGCTTATGACCACCTTCGGTTTGATAGCAGAGGTCTCACTACGAATCAGTCGAGCGGCATTGCCTTTTCATCGGCTGCGTGACGCTGTGTGGAAGCTACCTGGTCTGTCGCTCCGCACGAAGCTTTAGGTCTTCTCGGCCACGGTCATTCCCTCCCTTCTCTACGCTTGCGAAACGTGGACCCCCCCCCCCACAAATGGTGCATCTTCGCCGGTTAGAAACATTTAGGCTGGCCTGCCTACGATCCATCCTGGGTTTAACCAGACTGGATTGTGTGAGGAGCTCACATATCCTTGAAATATCTGACAAAGTCCTGTTGGTCATCTCAGGCAGGCAAGGCTGCGATGGCTGGGTCATGTAGCCCGCATGCCCAGCCAACGCATGCCGAAACAGCTTTTGTTCGGCCGGATTGAGGGGACTAAGCGGGCGCGGCACGGGCTAGAGAAGAGATGGAGTGATGTGGTACAGGAGGATGTGGAGCTGAGTGGACTTGCCCATGACCGGTACCAGCGGTGTCAAGATCGGCCTCTGTGGAGGAGGCTCGTCGAGGACGCTACTGGGCAGTTAGAGGTAGTCGCCCTCCAACAACAACGGAGGGCGGAGGAGCGACGCTCACAACAACGAGCGGAGCGCCGGGTGGCTAAAGCACAGCAAGTTGGCACAGTAGGGGGCACAGGTGGTGCATCAGCCAGTCATCTCAGTCATCTCAGTCAGTCGACCCGTGGCACCTGGGTCTGCCCCGTGACCTCCTGCTAGCGGGCGTTCGACACTTCACGTGGCCTCAGGGTGCACATGGCCTGGCACAAGCGTCGTGGTGACGTCACCGCCACTTAGTGGCGAATGGCGGTTGTTGTTGTTACACAGTGTGTGTGTGTATGTGCGTGTGTGTGTGTTAGTGTGTGTGTGTTAGTGTGTATGGGGAGCGGTGGTGCAGCGGTTAGCGCTACGAACCCGGCGACCCGAGTTCGATTCTCGCTCACGGCCAACGCCGTTGGTGACGATTATCTGAAGCGGTCCTGGGCCTCCCCTAGGTCGGCTCAGCCTCAAATGAGTACCCTGGTGTAGCGGTGGCGTAGTGAGGGAGACAAAGGCGGCCGGGCGGGCGTGGTGCTGGCCACCCGCCCCCTCGTGTGTAGCCACGGTGCCGGTCGCCTTCAGAGGCGCCGCCGCTACTCGCTACTAACAGCACTTGCCCCAACAGTCTGCTCAGGCCATGCGGGGGATCTTTGTCTTGCTTTTGTACACGTGTGTACGTGCGTGTGTGTGTGCGTGTGTACCTGCGTGTGTACATGCGTGTGCGTGCGTGTGTGTGTACTTGCGTGTGTGTGTGTGTGTGCGTGCGTGTGTACGTGCGTGTGTACGTGCGTGTGTGTGTGTGCGTGCGTGTGTACGTGCGTGTACACGTGTGTGTACACGTGTGTGTACACGTGTGTGTGTGTACGTGTGTGTGTACGTGCGTATGTGTGTGTACGTGCGTGTGTACGTGCGTGTGTGTGTACGTGCGTGTGTGTACGTGTGTGTGTATGTGTGTACGTGCGTGTGTGTGTACGTGCGGGTGTGTGTGTACGTGTGTGTGTATGTGTGTACGTGCGTGTGCATGTGTGTGTAAATGCGTGTGTGTGTACGTGCGTGTGAGTGTGTGTACGTGCGTGTGTGTGTACGTGCGTGCGCATGTGTGTGTGTGTGTACGTGCGTGTGAACGTGTGTGTGTATGTGTGTGTGTCACTGTGTGTGTGTGTGTTGGGGAGCGGTAGTGTAGCTGTTAGCGCGCTGCACTACGAACCTGGCGACCCGGGTTCGATTCCCGCTCACGGCCAACACCAGTGACGATTATCTGAACCGGTCCCGGGCCTCCCCTAGGTCGTCTCAGCCTCAAATGATTACCTGGTGCGGTGTGTAAACATCGCCACTGGGGAGACAAAGGCGGTCGGGCGTGGTGCTGGCCACCCACCCCCTCGTGTGCCGTTCCGGCCTTCATAGGTGCTCGCTAACAGCACTTGCCCCTACAGTCTGTTAAGGCTATACGGGGGATCTTTGTCTTTGTACGTGTGTGTACGTGTGTTTACGTGTGTGCGTGTGTGTGTGTGCGTGTGTACGTGTGTGTGTACGTGTGTGTACGCGTGTTTTACGTGTGTACGTGTGTGTGTACGTGTGTGTGTGTGTGTAGCAGGTACAGGGTCACGTGACCCCGGTCATGATCCCCATCTTCCCGTCTGACCAGAGAGCGCTCATCCTGCCACCGCCACCCGGCATCTCCTACAAACCCGGTGAGCGGCACGCACGGCGCATAGCACGCACACACACACAGCACATAGCACACACACACACATAGCACACACACACACATAGCACACACACACACATAGCACACACACACACATAGCACACACACACATAGCACACACACACACACAGCACACACACACACAGCACGCACACACACACAGCACACACACACACATAGCACACACACACACATAGCACACACATAGCACACACACACACATAGCACACACACACACATAGCACACACACACATAGCACACACACACACATAGCACACACATAGCACACACACACACACAGCACACACACACACAGCACGCACACACACACACACAGCACACACACACATAGCACACACACACACATAGCACACTCACACACATAGCACACACAGCACGCACAGCACACACACACACACATAGCACACTCACACACATAGCACACACAGCACACACACATGGCACGCACAGCACGCATAGCACACACAAACACACGGCACGCACAGCACGCATAGCACACACACACACATAGCACACACACACACACGGCACGCACAGCACACACACAGCACACAGCACACACACACACAGCACACACACACAGCACACACAGCACGCATAGCACACACACACACGGCACGCACAGCACACACACAGCACACACACACACACACAGCACACACAGCACGCATAGCACACACACACACACACGGCACGCACAGCACACACACACACATCACACACACACATAGCACACACACACACACACGGCACGCATAGCACACACACACGCAGCACACACAGCACGCACAGCACGCATAGCACGCATAGCACGCACACACACACGACACGCACAGCACGTCTGCTCATAAGGCATGCATAGCACACGCATAGCATACTCGCACAGCATGCGTGCGTAGAGCGTGCTGTACGTGTCATGTGTTTCTGCTATGCATCTGCTATGCGTGTGCTATGCGTGTGCTATGCGTGCTGTATGAGTGCTGTATGAGTATGATATGCGTGTGCTTTGCATGCGTATAAGTCTTCTATGCATGTGCTATGCATGTGCAATGCGTGCCGTGTGTTTATGCTAAGCGTGTGCTAAGCGTGTGCAGGAGAGCCATACCCCATGCACCTGTGTGTACGTGCTAAGCGTGTGCTAAGCGTGTGCTGTGCGTGTGCAGGAGAGCCGTACCCCATGCACCTGTGTGTATGTGCTAAGCGTGTGCTAAGCGTGTGCTGTGCGTGTGCAGGAGAGCCGTACCCCATGCACCTGTGTGTATGTGCTAAGCGTGTGCTAAGCGTGTTCTCTGCGTGTGTAGGAGAGCCGTACCCCATGCACCTGTGTGTATGTGCTAAGCGTGTGCTAAGCGTGTGCTAAGCGTGTGTGTGCTGTGTGTGTGCAGGAGAGCCGTACCCCATGCACCTGTGTGTATGTGCTAAGCGTGTGCTAAGCGTGTGCTAAGCGTGTGCAGGAGAGCCGTACCCCATGCACCTGTGTGTATGTGCTAAGCGTGTGCTAAGCGTGTGCTGTGCGTGTGCAGGGGAGCCGTACCCCATGCACCTGTGTGTATGTGCTAAGCGTGTGCTAAGCGTGTGCTAAGCGTGTTCTCTGCGTGTGTAGGAGAGCCGTACCCCATGCACCTGTGTGTATGTGCTAAGCGTGTGCTAAGCGTGTGCTAAGCGTGTGCTAAGCGTGTGCTAAGCGTGTTCTCTGCGTGTGCAGGGGAGCCGTACCCCATGCACCTGATCCCCACCACGTTGGCGGCCGCCGCCTCCCCTCTGCAGCTGCAGGTGACGCCCCCTGCGCTAGGGCCCTCGCCCGGAACGTCTGCCCTCGTCTGTTCTGTGCTCTCACGCGCGCTCACTCACAAAGACTCACAGACGCACAGACAAAGATCCCCCGTGTAGCCTCTAGCAGGGCTGTAGGGGCAAGTGCTGTTAGTAGCGAGTAGCAGCACCTACACACAGACAAAGCTCCCCCGTGTAGCCTCTAGCAGGCTGTAGGGGCAAGTGCTGTTAGTAGCGAGTAGCAGCACCTACACACAGACAAAGATCCCCCGTGTAGCTTCTAGCAGGCTGTAGGGGCAAGTGCTGTTAGTAGCGAGTAGCAGCAACGCTTATACACAGACAAAGATCCCCCGTGTAGCCTCTGACAGACTGTAGGGGCAAGTGCTGTTAGTAGCGAGTAGCAGCAGCGCTTATACACAGACAAAGATCCCCCGTGTAGCCTCTAGCAGGGCTGTTGGGGCAAGTGCTGTTAGTAGCGAGTAGCAGTAGCACCTACACACAGACAAAGCTCCCCCGTGTAGCCTCTAGAAGACTGTTGGGGCAAGTGCTGTTAGTAGCGAGTAGCAGTAGCACCTACACACAGACAAAGCTCCCCCGTGTAGCCTCTAGCAGGGCTGTAGGGGCAAGTGCTGTTAGGAGCGAGTAGCAGCAGCACCTATACACAGACAAAGATCCCCCATGTAGCCTTAGCAGGCTGTAGGGGCAAGTGCTGTTAGTAGCGTGTAGCAGCAGCACCTACACACAGACAAAGATCCCCCGTGTAGCCTCTAGCAGACTGTAGGGGCAAGTGCTGTTAGTAGCGAGTAGCAGCAGCACCTACATACAGACAAAGATTCCCCGTGTAGCCTCTAGCAAGGCTGTAGGGGCAAGTGCTGTTAGTAGTGAGTAGCAGCACCTACACACAGACAAAGCTCCCCCGTGTAGCCTCTAGCAGGCTGTAGGGGCAAGTGCTGTTAGTACCGTGTAGCAGCAGCACCTACACACAGACAAAGATCCCCCGTGTAGCCTTAGCAGACTGTTGGGGCAAGTGCTGTTAGTAGCGAGTAGCAGCAGCACCTACATACAGACAAAGATCCCCCGTGTAGCCTCTAGCAGGGCTGTAGGGGCAAGTGCTGTTAGTAGCGAGTAGCAGTAGCACCTACATACAGACAAAGATCCCCCGTGTAGCCTCTAGCAGGGCTGTAGGGGCAAGTGCTGTTAGTAGCGAGTAGCAGCAGCACCTACACACAGACAAAGATCCCCCGTGTAGCCTCTAACACAGGGGTCGGGAACCTTTTTGACTAAGAGAGCCATGAAAGCAAAAAATTTGGAAATTTATTTCAGTGAGAGCCATATAATATATTTTAAAAGTGAATTCAACTAAATGTCAGTATAATAAGCCTCTGAATTTATTCTTTTAAATAATGTTGTTATAACACTCACCATTAATGCGACTTCTGGTGCTGCATGGATTTGCTGATGTCTTTGTAGTCGGGTTGGTACTTTGTAGTCAGGTTGGTACTTGGTGAGGTTAAGCTTCATGCAAGCGTTGAGGCTTTCATCCGTTAAACGTGATCGTAGGTTGGACTTGATGTTTTTAAGATGTGAGAATGACTGCTCACATGCATACGTAGATCCAAACATGGTCAATACAGCAATACTCACACGCTGCAGTGTGTGGTATGTGACAGGAAGCGCGTTCCAAGTTTTGAGAATCAGCTGGTCTTCGGGTTGGAGTTTTTTCATTTCTGTCCACATGTGCTTGCTCGCCAACTCCGCTTTCTGTCGTGTGATTCTTTCCAAATCTTCATTCAGTGACTTGAACTTATTCACCCACATGTCTGAGGCCTTCAGGTCAGCCACTTCTGCTTCAAAATCTCTGACGGAGACACCAGGGATGTAATTCAGGTCGGCTGTGTTCAGTGAACACTCGTTTGGATGGGTGATGAACTTAAAAAGACGAGTGTGCTCACGAAATTCTCCAAAGCGTGCTTTGAAGGACTGTAGGAGACTGGATGTGCAGCCAGCTAGCTGGTGGAGATCAAGGTTTTGAATGGGCTCACTTGCTGTGCATGCATCTTTAAATTGGCTCAGTTTTTCAAAATGTAGTAAACGACCTGTTTCAAGATCCGTGATGAAAAGCTCCAGCTTGTTTTCAAAAGCAAATACAGCCTGTTGAAGGGATAACACTGTATTTCCAATGCCTTGCATTTTCACGTTGAGCTGGTTCAGATGTTCAGTCAGATCTACGAGATAGTAAAACTTGAGGAGCCACTCGGTGTCGGCTAGCTCAGGATGCCCGACGCCTTTCATTTCAAGGAAAGTCCGGATTTCGTTCAGGCAAGCCGCAAAACGGCTAAGCACCTTCCCTCTTGACAACCAACGCACATTGCTGTGCAAAAGCAGACCAGGATAGTTATTTACAACTTCATCCAGCAGTGTTTTAAACTGGCGATCATTTAAGGTTCGGGCAACAATAAAGTTGATCACACGAATGACCAGCGACATCACTTCGCCAAACTGCCTGTCACACACATCTGAGCACAAAGTGCCTCCTGGTGTATAATGCAATGGAAACTTAGGATGGGTCTATTTTCATGTTCACGGAGAAGCGCCACAAATCCTTTGTTTTTCCCCACCATACACGGAGCACCATCAGTACACACTGAGAGAAGTTTATCCATAGGTAGACTTTTTTCTTGAGCAAACTCCATGAAAGACTTGAATAAATCCTCACCTCTTGTGGACCCTTTTAATGGCAGAACAGCAAGACTTTCTTCGCGCAGTGTGTCACCAACAGCATATCTTGCAATCACGCTGAACTGCGACAAATGGCTCACGTCTGTTGACTCATCCAAAGCCAGAGAAAAGAACGGCGCTGCATTTATGTCCTTCACTTGCGTTTCCTCCACTTTGTTTGCCATCACGATGGTACGATCATGAACAGTTCTTGCCGACAGAGGCATGTCTTGTATCCGTTTGATTATCTTGTCTTTGTTCGGAAGATCATCAAAAAGTTCATTGGCTACATCCAGCATGAACGTTTTAGCATACTCGCCATCTGTGAATGGTTTTCCGTTCCTCACTATTGCTAAAGAACCAGCAAAGCTAGCCGAATTATAGTCACCTTGCCGGGTCCATACGCGGAGTTGCTGCTGGCTAGCTTGCACCCTGCTCAGAAGCTCTTGGCACGCTTTCTTTCTGCCGTCTCCCGCAGGGTATTTTGATGCAAAGGTAGCGTGGCGCGTGTCGAAGTGCCGCTTTACATTCGACCGTTTCAACGATGTAATTTTGTCATTGCAAATTAGACACACCGCAGAACCCGCTCTCTCCACAAAGGCGAATTCTTCGGTCCATTCGTCCTGAAATGTACGATACTCGTCGTCTTTTTTTCTTTTCGCCATCTTCTTCGTCGAAGGGTTAGCTTTGAGCTAATGACCGAGCAGACGCAGTCTCAGACTGATTCAAAAGGGGGCGTTTACCTGTTTTACCCAGCAACGGCAAACGTAGGCCAGTATCATCCAATTAAAATAATGGACAATTGCTCCTGCAGCCCTGAACAGGACATGCGCAGTGAAAAATCGATGGATGGATTAAAACAAGTGAGAATATTTTGTTTTATCTGCGAGCCATATGCAATCATCAAAAGAGCCACATCTGGCTCGCGAGCCATAGGTTCCCGACCCCTGCTCTAACAGGCTGTAGGGGCAAGTGCTGTTAGTAGCGAGTAGCAGCACCTACACACAGACAAAGCTCCCCCGTGTAGCCTTAGCAGACTGTAGGGGTCAAGTGCTGTTAGCGAGCACCTACAGTGAGAGAAAAAAAGTATTTGATCCCCTGCTGATTTTGTACGTTTGCCCCACTGACAAAGAAATGATCAGTCTATAATTTTAACGGTAGGTTCATTTGAACAGTGAGAGACAGAATAATAAGAACAACAACAAATCCAGAAAAACGCATGTCAAAAATGTTATAAATTGATTTGCATTTTAATGAGGGAAATAAGTATTTGACCCCCCTCTCAATCAGAAAGATTTCTGGCTCCCAGGTGTCTTTTATACAGGTAACGAGCTGAGATTAGGAATAGGTTTTACCCTTTTAACTGGCACAAAAACTGACATCTTTATTCAAGGCATCATGTCTGCAATAACCACAACACAAGCAGTCAAAATGCAAACAAAAAAGACAACTCTGATAATAATATTGGCACTGTCCTTGAATTTGATTGGTCCACACCCGAGACGGCTTTTCTTAGAGCCCTTTAGTCTCCATTGGTGTTGGACCAGAAGACGCCAAAAGGCGTACAACTCAAAAACAGCGCACCATCAGAGTATTAAGGTTTCGGGGCGAGCATTTACATTATGAGACCTCCTTTGCCAGTAACAAGATATAGGAATAGGTTCTGGTCCAACACCAGTGGAGACTAAAGGGCTTCTTAGAAAAGCCGTCTCGGGTGTGGACCAATCAAATTCAAGGACAGTGCCAATTATTATTATCAGAGTTGTCTCATTTTGTTGTTGGCATTTTGACTGCTCGTGTTGTGGTTATTGCGAACACGATTTCTTGAATAAAGGTGTCAGTTTTTGTGCCAGTTAAAAGGGTAAAAACCTATTCCTAAGGCTGCTGCTGCTGCTGCTGCACACCACTAACAGCGCTCGCCCCGACATTCTGTTCAAGGCTACTCGGGGCGGGGGATCTTTGTCTTTTAGCAGGTGGGGAGTAGGGCCCACTTTCTCAGCCGTGCGTGGCAGCACTTTGTCAGAAGCGCCGAGGGAGGCCATCGAGGATGGCCGCAGCTCAACGACGTGGCTGGAGCACGGCGGCAAAAATAATTTCTCCGAAACGCGCGGTGACGTTCATTCTAAACGTGGTGGGGGGGGGGGAAGCCGGAGGGCTCGGAGCGAGAGACACAAACTTCAAATATACAGCAGCAGCAGCAGGCGTCAGGGTCGGGGTCAGGATCGAACCCACGACCTCCTGCGTACCAGGCGAGGTAGTCAACATCTAGCCACACACACAAAAATACAGCAGCAGCAGGTGTGAGGGTCAGGATGGAACCCACGACCTCCTGCGTACCGGGCGAGGTAGTCAACATCTCGTAGCCACACACACAAATACACAGCAGGTGTGAGGGTCGGGATCGAACCCACGACCTCCTGCGTACCGGGCGAGGTAGTCAACATCTCGTAGCCACACACACAAATACACAGCAGGTGTGAGGGTCGGGATCGAACCCACGACCTCCCGCGTACTGGGCGAGGTAGTCAACATCTCGTAGCCACACACACAAATACACAGCAGGTGTGAGGGTCGGGATCGAACCCACGACCTCCCGCGTACTGGGCGAGGTAGTCAACATCTCCTAGCCACACACACAAATATACAGCAGGTGTGAGGGTCAGGATTGAACCCACGACCTCCCGCGTACCGGGCGAGGTAGTCAACATCTCCTAGCCACACACAAAAATATACAGCAGGCGTCAGGGTCGGGATGGAACCCACGACCTCCCGCGTACCGGGCGAGGTAGTCAACATCTCCTGACCACACACACAAATATACAGCAGGTGTGAGGGGCGGGATCGAACCCACGACCTTCTGCGTACCGGGCGAGGTAGTCAACATCTCGTAGCCACACACACAAATATACAGCAGGCGTCAGGGTCGGGATGGAACCCACGACCTCCCGCGTACCGGGCGAGGTAGTCAACATCTCCCCCCGCTGTCTTTGTGTTGCTCGTAGCAGCTGTACGCCACCCAGCTCACGGCCTTCCAGTCTCCCCCCACCTCCGTGGTGAGCTGCTCCTCCTCCTCCTCGTCGTCCTCCTCGTCCTCGTCTTCAGCGGCGGCGGCGGCGGCGTTGCACGGCGTCTCCGGGCAGCTCAACATCCCGGTCAGCACGGCCAGCAGCAGCAGCAGCAGCAGCACGGCGAACGGCGGCGTAGCGGCCGTGGTGGGGGCCTCATCGCACCAAACGGCAGGAGCCAGGCTCCAGATGTCGGTGACCTCGATCAACGCCTCCCCTAAACCCAAGGTGATTGCCGTAGCGTCAGCCCAGAGATATTTACCGGTCTCCCCGAGTCTCACTCTGATCCCAGAGATATTTACCGGTCTCCCTGAGTCTCACTCTGATCCCAGAGATATTTACCGGTCTCCCTGAGTCTCATTCTGATCCCAGAGATATTTACCGGTCTCCCTGAGTCTCATTCTGATCCCAGAGATATTTACCGGTCTCCCTGAGTCTCACTCTGATCCCAGAGATATTTACCGGTCTCCCTGAGTCTTACTCTGATCCCAGAGATATTTACCGGTCTCCCTGAGTCTCACTCTGATCCCAGAGATATTTACCGGTCTCCCTGAGTCTCACTCTGATCCCAGAGATATTTACCGGTCTCCCTGAGTCTCACTCTGAACCCAGAGATATTTACCGGTCTCCCTGAGTCTCACTCTGATCCCAGAGATATTTACCGGTCTCCCTGAGTCTCACTCTGATCCCAGAGATATTTACCGGTCTCCCTGAGTCTCACTCTGATCCCAGAGATATTTACCGGTCTCCCTGAGTCTCACTCTGATCCCAGAGATATTTACCGGTCTCCCTGAGTCTCACTCTGATCCCAGAGATATTTTTTCCGGTCTCCCTGAGTCTCTGATCCCAGAGATATTTACCGGTCTCCCTGAGTCTCACTCTGAGACAGAGATATTTACCGGTCTCCCTGAGCCTCACTCTGATCCCAGAGATATTTACCGGTCTCCCTGAGTCTCACTCTGATCCCAGAGATATTTACCGGTCTCCCTGAGTCTCACTCTGATCCCAGAGATATTTACCGGTCTCCCTGAGTCTCACTCTGATCCCAGAGATATTTACCGGTCTCCCTGAGTCTCATTCTGATCCCAGAGATATTTACCGGTCTCCCTGAGTCTCACTCTGATCCCAGAGATATTTACCGGTCTCCCTGAGTCTCACTCTGATCCAGATATATTTACCGGTCTCCCTGAGTCTCACTCTGAACCCAGAGATATTTACCGGTCTCCCTGAGTCTCACTCTGATCCCAGAGATATTTACCGGTCTGCCTGAGTCTCATCTCTGACCCCAGAGATATTTACCGATCTCCCTGAGCCTCACTCTGATCCCAGAGATATTTACCGGTCTCCCTGAGTCTCACTCTGATCCCAGAGATATTTACCGGTCTCCCTGAGTCTCACTCTGATCCCAGAGATATTTACCGGTCTCCCTGAGTCTCACTCTGATCCCAGAGATATTTACCGGTCTCCCTGAGTCTCACTCTGATCCCAGAGATATTTACCGGTCTCCCTGAGTCTCACTCTGATCCCAGAGATATTTACCGGTCTCCCTGAGTCTCACTCTGATCCCAGAGATATTTACCGGTCTCCCTGAGTCTCACTCTGATCCCAGAGATATTTACCGGTCTCCCTGAGTCTCACTCTGATCCCAGAGATATTTACCGGTCTCCCTGAGTCTCATTCTGATCCCAGAGATATTTACCGGTCTCCCTGAGTCTCACTCTGATCCCAGAGATATTTACCGGTCTCCCTGAGTCTCACTCTGATCCCAGAGATATTTACCGGTCTCCCTGAGTCTCACTCTGATCCCAGAGATATTTACCGGTCTCCCTGAGTCTCACTCTGATCCCAGAGATATTTACCGGTCTCCCTGAGTCTCACTCTGATCCCAGAGATATTTACCGGTCTCCCTGAGTCTCACTCTGATCCCAGAGATATTTTTTCCGGTCTCCCTGAGTCTCTGATCCCAGAGATATTTACCGGTCTCCCTGAGTCTCACTCTGAGACAGAGATATTTACCGGTCTCCCTGAGCCTCACTCTGATCCCAGAGATATTTACCAGTCTCCCTGAGTCTCACTCTGATCCCAGAGATATTTACCGGTCTCCCTGAGTCTCACTCTGATCCCAGAGATATTTACCGGTCTCCCTGAGTCTCACTCTGATCCCAGAGATATTTACCGGTCTCCCTGAGTCTCATTCTGATCCCAGAGATATTTACCGGTCTCCCTGAGTCTCACTCTGATCCCAGAGATATTTACCGGTCTCCCTGAGTCTCACTCTGATCCCAGAGATATTTACCGGTCTCCCTGAGTCTCACTCTGATCCCAGAGATATTACCGGTCTCCCTGAGTCTCATCTCTGATCCCAGAGATATTTACCGATCTCCCTGAGTCTCATCTCTGATCCCAGAGATATTTACCGGTCTCCCTGAGTCTCACTCTGATCCCAGAGATATTTACCGGTCTCCTGAGTCTCACTCTGATCCCAGAGATATTTACCGGTCTCCCTGAGTCTCACTCTGATCCCAGAGATATTTACCGGTCTCCCTGAGTCTCACTCTGATCCCAGAGATATTTACCGGTCTCCCTGAGTCTCACTCTGATCCCAGAGATATTTACCGGTCCTCCCTGAGTCTCACTCTGATCCCAGAGATATTTACCGGTCTCCCTGAGTCTCACTCTGATCCCAGAGATATTTACCGGTCTCCCTGAGTCTCACTCTGATCCCAGAGATATTTACGGTCTCCTGAGTCTCACTCTGATCCCAGAGATATTTACCGGTCTCCCTGAGTCTCACTTCTGATCCCAGAGATATTTACCGGTCTCCCTGAGTCTCACTCTGAGACAGAGATATTTACCGGTCTCCCTGAGTCTCACTCTGATCCCAGAGATATTTACCGGTCTCCCTGAGTCTCACTCTGATCCCAGAGATATTTACCGGTCTCCCTGAGTCTCACTCTGATCCCAGAGCATATTTACCGGTCTCCCTGAGTCTCACTCTGATCCCAGAGATATTTACCGGTCTCCCTGAGTCTCACTCTGATCCCAGAGATATTTACCGGTCTCCCTGAGTCTCACTCTGATCCCAGAGATATTTACCGGTCTCCCTGAGTCTCACTCTGATCCAGAGAATATTTACCGGTCTCCCTGAGTCCTCACTCTGATCCCAGAGATATTTACCAGGTCTCCCTGAGTCTCACTCTGATCCCAGAGATATTTACCGGTCTCCCTGAGTCTCACTCTGATCCAGAGATATTTACCGGTCTCCCTGAGTCTCACTCTGATCCCAGAGATATTTTACCGGTCTCCCTGAGTCTCATCTCTGATCCCAGAGATATTTACCGGTCTCCCTGAGTCTCACTCTGATCCCAGAGATATTTACCGGTCTCCCTGAGTCTCACTCTGATCCCAGAGATATTTACGGTCTCCCTGAGTCTCACTCTGATCCCAGAGATATTTACCGGTCTCCCTGAGTCTCACTCTGATCCCAGAGATATTTACCGGTCTCCCTGAGTCCTCACTCTGATCCCAGAGATATTTACCGGTCTCCCTGAGTCTCACTCTGATCCCAGAGATATTTACCGGTCTCCCTGAGTCTCACTCTGATCCCAGAGATATTTTACCGGTCTCCCTGAGTCTCACTCTGATCCCAGAGATATTTACCGGTCTCCCTGAGTCTCACTCTGATCCCAGAGATATTTACCGGTCTCCCTGAGTCTCACTCTGATCCCAGAGATATTTACCGGTCTCCCTGAGTCTCACTCTGATCCAGAGATATTTACCGGTCTCCCTGAGTCTCACTCTGGATCCAGAGATATTTACCGGTCTCCCTGAGTCTCACTCTGATCCCAGAGATATTTACCGGTCTCCCTGAGTCTCACTCTGATCCCAGAGATATTTACCGGTCTCCCTGAGTCTCACTCTGATCCCAGAGATATTTACCGGTCTCCCTGAGTCTCACTCTGATCCCAGAGATATTTACCGGTCTCCCTGAGTCTCACTCTGATCCCAGAGATATTTACCGGTCCTCCCTGAGTCTCACTCTGATCCCAGAGATATTTTTTCCGAGTCTCCCTGAGTCTCTGATCCCAGAGATATTTACCGGTCTCCCTGAGTCTCACTCTGAGACAGAGATATTACCGGTCTCTCCTGAGCCTCACTCTGATCCCAGAGATATTTACCAGGTCTCCCTGAGTCTCACTCTGATACCCAGAGATATTTACCGGTCTCCCTGAGTCTCACTCTGATCCCAGAGATATTTACCGGTCTCCCTGAGTCTCACTCTGATCCCAGAGATATTTACCGGTCTCCCTGAGTCTCATTCTGATCCCAAGAGATATTTACCGGTCTCCCTGAGTCTCACTCTGATCCCAGAGATATTTACCGGTCTCCCTGAGTCTCACTCTGATCCCAGAGATATTTACCGGTCTCCCTGAGTCTCACTCTGAACCCAGAGATATTTACCGGTCTCCCTGAGTCTCACTCTGATCCCAGAGATATTTACCGGTCTCCCTGAGTCTCATCTCTGACCCCAGAGATATTTACCGATCTCCCTGAGCCTCACTCTGATCCCAGAGATATTTACCGGTCTCCCTGAGTCTCACTCTGATCCCAGAGATATTTACCGGTCTCCCTGAGTCTCAACTCTGATCCCAGAGATATTTACCGGTCTCCCTGAGCCTCACTCTGATCCCAGAGATATTTACCGGTCTCCCTGAGTCTCACTCTGATCCCAGAGATATTTACCGGTCTCCCTGAGTCTCACTCTGATCCCAGAGATATTACCGGTCTCCCTGAGTCTCACTCTGATCCAGAGATATTTACCGGTCTCCCTGAGTCTCACTCTGATCCCAGAGATATTTACCGGTCTCCCTGAGTCTCACTCTGATCCCAGAGATATTTACCGGTCTCCCTGAGTCTCACTCTGATCCCAGAGATATTTACCGGTCTCCCTGAGTCTCACTCTGATCCCAGAGATATTTACCGGTCTCCCTGAGTCTCACTCTGATCCCAGAGATATTTACCGGTCTCCCTGAGTCTCACTCTGATCCCAGAGATATTTACCGGTCTCCCTGAGTCTCACTCTGAGACAGAGATATTTACCGTCTCCTGAGTCTCACTTCTGATCCCAGAGATATTTACCGGTCTCCCTGAGTCTCACTCTGATCCCAGAGATATTTACCGGTCTCCCCGATGTCTCACTCTGATCCAGAGATATTTACCGGTCTCCC